TGCCCCTGAAAATGACCCAAAGAGGACTTTTCAGGGTCTTCTACTGTATTACTTGGCGCAGTGTCTAAGAATATCTCTCAGCACCACATCAGAGTTTATACTTCTCTGTTTCAAACTGAGTGTGGGCTGTGACACAGCGTCATCATTAGACAGTTTGGGAGTTAGAATGAGTGTTTTTTTTTGTTTGTTTTTTTTAAATCATGAATATTGTTTTTATCATATTTCAATAGATGTTTCAGTATAAATAGAACCAAACTGATTAACACATCTGTCTTGTTGGCTGAACTACATTTACACTTGCCTTTCAAACAGAAAAGTGGAGCAGAGCTGACAGTGAAGAGTTCACAGCAGCAGTGAAACTTTATGAAAATAGGTCTGACTGAGAGGTGATGTCTTAACTGTCACTCATTATTGTGTGCAGCATATTAATTGCAGTGAAATGCAGATGTTTCTTCTTATTTCACATCATGGTCTCAGCGGGTGTTGATTTACACTACAGGCCAAAAGTTTGGAAGCAAGGCCATTACAGGCCGAACAGTTGGGAGTAACTTCAAGTTTTTGTTCACAATGCTTTTTTCTAAAATCCAGCATGAGTTTAATGTATTTTGGGATGTATTTACTCCATGATCAGATGTTGCTTTCATGGAAATGCACCATTTTACCCCATTTACCTTTAGATATACATTGATGTTAACAGACCATTGTTAAATATATGTCAGCAAAAGATAATAAGGGCTTAGTTTTAGGGTCGAAAACATTTGCAAGGGTCACAACTTCAGTGCAAAAGCAAAAAACAAATCACAGTTGGATTATTCACTTTAACTTTCTGGCTTTTGAGAGTCTGCATACAAAAATCCTAATAAATCTCAACTGTGTTCAAACTACCACAAAAAATGGCTAGAAAGAAGCAACTGAGTAAAGAAACAAAAGTATGGATTTGTACATTGAGGAAAGATGGATACACAGAAAGAGAAACTGCAAAACACCCTAAGGTGTTTAACAGAGGAATCCACTACACTCTGAAGAGACTAGAGGGATCTGGAAGTTATGATGATAGAAAAAGACCTAGACGAAAGAGAGTTACTACAAAAGCAGAGGATAAACATAGCATTGACACCAGTAAGAGAGATCGGTAAAAGACAGCGCCAAAAATAAGGGAGGACAAGGTCAAACACATATCTCTGACAACTGTGAAATTATGTTTGAGAAAGGTTGGTCTGAAGGGTTGTGTATCTGCAAAAAACACTACTTCATCCACAGAGCAAGAAAAAGAGATATGAGTGGGCAAAAGCTCACAAAAATTGGACTTATGATGACTAGAAACAAGTTTGAACTGTTTGGTTCAAAACGCAGAGTCTATGTCCGCAGACAAACTGGTGAACGTCTGAAAGCACCATGTGTTACACCCACAATTAACCAAGGAGGTGGTAGTTCCATGGTATGGGGATGTTTTGCAGGTGATGGAGTAGGAGATTTGTTTGAAGTAAAGGGTATCATGAAGAAGGAACAGTTCCACTCCATCCTCCAGCACCATGCTGTTCCATCTGGACTCAGACTTGTGGCTCATAAGTTTGTTTTGCAGCAAGACAATGACCCTAAGCACTCTGCCAAGCTCTGTCAGGGTTACCTAGACAAAAAAGAAGAGGAAGATGTTCTTCAAAATGGTTTGGCCCCCTCAGTCTCCAGACCTTTCTCCAGTCGAGCTTGTGTGGGATGAACTGGATCGATCGTCCCACGAATCAGCAGTCTCTTTTTAATGAACTTAAGAAAGCTTGGAATGCAATCCCTGGAGCATAGCTTAAAAAACTTGTGGAACGAATGCCTGGTATATGCCAAGCTGTTGTTAAAGCCAGAGGAGGTAACTTTAAAGAAAGTAAAGTCTAAGCAACAATAACTCAAATACCTAATAATTATTGTCAAAATGTCTTCTGATAAGTTACTCTTTACACAATAGTCATGTTTATTGTGTTGCAAATGCTATTAATGAAACTATGATCTTTTTTTGTACAAATCTGATCTTGCTTCCAAACTTTTGGCCTGTAGTGTATGTGTTTCAAGTTCTCTTTGTTGAGTGAGTTGCAATGAATGAGACACATCCCATGAAGACTTTTGAGATGAAATCACAGCATTTCCATCTTAAATCACAAAAACATATCTTTTTAATTGGTGGATCAGTTTCTTTAGTGTGAGTTGCAGTTGCAGTTTGGTTTTCTTCACAGCTGGTTTACTCTCTATAACCACTAGAGGGCGGCAGTATTGTGTTTATTCAGAGTGTGATGCATGTGTTCCATAATAAAGTCTATGATGTGTCCTCAGCATGAAATGCTCCATAACTGATTTAAGATGATTATTATCAAAAAAATAAATAAATACGTTAAGAGACTGAGTTTGTCTGTAGACTGGAGGCAGTCAAATCTGCTGTGGTCTTTGGCTCGGTGATTCAGTTTTTAGAAACTTATTGATGGTTCAGTTGTAATGATGTCTGGATGAAAATCAACACTGTTTATCTTTCTGTCCAACTGGAGCAGTTCAGCCTGTTCTTCACTCTCTGCTCCAGAAAGGAGCTTTGATTGGAAATGTCTTTAAAGAAATGCAGGCTGAAAACAAATGCACAAAAAGTGACTACCAGAAGACTCTTTCAGACTTAACACAGTGTTTGATGTGAGAGGTTGTCCTCAATTTCTTTGGCCTAGCTGCACAGCGTGTGATCAGTTAATGATCAAGGATGAAGCTGCAGACTCATCCGTGAAACTCCAAGTCCTGGTGGTCTGCTCTCAGCTGTTTCTGTGCTGGTTGGAGAGGAAACTGTTGCAGTCTGTTTGTAAAACCCCATGCATCTGTTTAATGAAAGATCTGTGCCAATTAAAAACTTTATGATTAAATCATAAGATGTGGCTGATATAATCCGCTCATATCATGGATCACTGCTTGCTGCTAAACAGGTTTTACTGTCCATCCCCTCAGTGATGTATTGATGTGGTTTGGTGCTCCAACATCTGACTGTACCAGCAAGGATAGATCACTAGATGGTGCCAGCACACCTCTGAATATTTTAGAGGAGTTTGCATCAACACAGTTTGTCCTTTAGATGTGGTTTGGGTATGCAGTAAACCAGAAATTTGCCCTTTTACAGCATAATCAATGTCAGCAGATGACCTCTTAAAAAGTAAGTTATCAAAATCTGCAGATATAAAGATTTCTGCCATAGTATTCAGCATACATTTACAGCCCAGGACACAAGCCAAACTAATGCTGATGATAATGCAGTGGGACTCTTTGTAGCTTTGAGTTTACAGAGTAGTTTTTGCTCCACATACCTGGGTGATTTTCATGTGTAGCCCTTTTGTAGTTGATAGCGTGGCTTTGCGTTGTGTTGGTGTTTAAAGTGACTGAAAGTTGATTAGTTAAGGTGATTTTGCTTCTTGTTCTGCCCTGGCTTGCTCTTTGAAATGAGAAATAAATCAGAATAGATGTGTATGTGACTAGGGATGGGCGGTAAATTATTGTTCACGATATATGGTCAGAAAAATCCTCCATGATAAATATTTGATCTCATGATAAATACAATAAATGCAAGTTGATGACATATGCATGAGCGTCAGACTCACAGCCATAGCCCACACAGAGTAGAATAACAAACAAACATGACTGAAGGTAATGAAGAAGACGTTTCTGAGCAGCTGATTACTGAACGAGGCTCCTAATGAGGGATTTCCTTCAAGATTGGGGTCTCGATGAGTTCAATCAGGTATGTCTGACATCAAAACAGTGGATCTGCTGCTGTTCACACTCTTCAATAAGAGTTTTCAATAAATGTTGAAAAGGTTTCACATTGGAGCTCTGTTTGATGTCTCTATTTTTCTCCATAACCTACCACTTAAACTTGTGGTTAGGTATCTTATTGGACGACTCCAACTGGTGTTCTCAAGACAAAATGAGTCAAAAATATTGATTGGAATTATAGTATCTTTTATCAGGACTTTTATTGTGGTTGACAGAATGGCAAATCTTACCATGATAATTTTTTTAGCCAATATCGCCCATCCCTTTATGTGACATGAATATCTGTCAACAATACCTGCCCATTTATAGTAGAGTCAAATAATTGTCTTGTTTTCCTGTTTGTCTCTAAAGACTTTCACGATAAGAGTAACAGCTCTATTACAGAGGAAGCAGTGCTCCTTACATGACAAAAATAAAAATGTGTATATCCATATTGATATCAACCAATTGAATTTGAAAAAATCAGCCAAAATCCAATCCTGAATGAATGGACAAACACAATTGGGGCAAACAACAAAGACATAAGAAGATAATGGATAAATCTAGGGACTGAATAAACCAATGATCAGTCAAGTTGAATGATAGAAAATAAAAAAAATGAGCTTAATGAGCTGATTTACTTCATATTTGCATGACGATCTCTTAAGAAAGGACAGATTATAGGAATAAAACTAAAATGAACATTCATTTAAAAAGGACCCTGGCTTACTAGAATTCAAGTTTCTTTATTTTATTTAAGTCCAATTGGTTAATAAAAACACAGAGATATGCTCCAGTGTTGGTAGAGCAACTTTGGTGAAATATTTATCTGAATTCTGGTTTTCTCTCTGTTTCTATCTTGATTTTGAGTTTCTTGAAGTCGTCAGTAGGTGGCGCCTGGTGACCTTTAAATCCAAATGTCTTTTTCTGAGTTGGGAGTCTAAAAACCACACAGATGGCTCTTCTAAATTTAACAGAATGCCTTTAGATGAAGCCCACTGTATTTGTAGCTTTTATTTGGAGTATTCATCACTCTGAGGTGGTCCCTCAAGGTCAGAGAAACACAGTGACAAACACTGAACAGTTTCCATTTTTGTAAAAACTCTCAATTCAGGGAAAGTAATCAGGATCGACCAAGAACCGACACTTTCCGGTGTTTTTCTTCTTCCTCTCTTCGGCGATGGTGAGGGGAGAAAGAGGAGCGTTCAGCCCCGCTGTGTGTTCCTCAAACTGGGACAAGCTAAGGCTGCAGGCTCCGTGGAAAAGATAATGATGCAGTGAAGCTCCTCCAGAAGTCCTCTGGTGGATGAAGCTGTGTGAGTGGAGCGGAGTGTGTGAGAGGGTAATTGCTCCAAAGACAAAAAGACACAGGCCATAATTTGTCCCTACGGCTGCACTAATGGAGGGATGGAGTGGTTAGAGATCAGGCAGGATGAGTGTGAGGATGTGGAGGATGATCTGTTTTTGTTGCAGCTGAAAATTATCTATAAAGTAGTTCAGTCACTTGGAGACTTTTGCAAATGCATTTCTGTAGCTTTATCAGCATTAAAAAGGGCATCTGTTTGACTTCCTCTTATTGATGCTGAAATGATGCAGCTCATCATAAAAACAATGACAGCAGAACAAGGTTTTTTTTTTTTCCTGACTGCCTCACACTTAATTTTTCTCTGCCGTCTGTTCTTCTATTTTCTCTCAATGTTTCCAGAAATCTGAGCATCCTTCCTCTTTGTGCTTTTCTGTCTCTCAGCACCAGATAAAAACACACACGAGCACAAGCAAAATCACATCAGTGAACATTTCCGATAGAAAAAAAGTTTGATGTCAGCACAATTTATAACTCTGACGATCTTTAAGGATTTGCTTTTTTAAATTAAAATCACCAAAATGATCATTGTGTTTCAGTTAAAGTTCATTCGAGGTGTAACAGCTGAAAATTTCTAGCTTGAATGATCTACTTCACTATTTTTTTTTTTCCCAAGCACCAAATCTGATCCCAGAGCTTCTTTTTTTTTATTCCAAACTGGAGCCACTAATCGGTGTCTTCCTCTCCCCCAGCCTCCCGCAGTCTTCCTCCTCCTGTGACAGAGAGCTTTCCCAGATTCCTCCAGCTTTCCGTCTTCCACCGCTCCCGAAATCAATCCGGGATTAGGCTTGATTACACGGATACCCCTCTGGGACGCTTTATTTCAATGAATTAGTTGAGTGAGTGAACAGAAGTGCAACAGAACGGTATTTTGTACCAGCCACATAAATTATGCATCGTCTGTGGATATCAACCGGCCTTGATCATCTTTTTCTCCTGCTCTGCATTCAGAGGGAGAAAAAATTGTTAATTGCCAGCCTTGTCACATATAATCTGGGCTGTGTTTGATGTACAATAGGGATGCAGTCTATACATCACTTATTTATTTATGTGCTGATGAAAAAGAGACCTAGATAAAATGTTGCTGTGCTGTTTTATGTTTCTACTTGGCGCTCTGCCTAAATAATAAGCAAATTCACTGATTGCACATAAAGCAAAGACTTGACGCAATTTCTTTTGCACTAATATGTGCGTGCTGTGTATTTACAGATCTGCTATATTTATTTGTCTGTAATATTATTTCTTTTTCAGAAAATTGTGCAACAATGTTGAATATGTGCACCTTTTACTGTTGCACACCATCAGCTGAAATAAAGGAGCTTTAAAATGAGTAATAAGCACTTTAAATGTTCTAACAATGTCATCATAAAATTGTGGAGACTGGATCCGTGTTGAGCTGTAGCTGTTTTAGCTGAAGACAGCACAGATCATGTCACAAAACATTTTTTTTTGCCCTGATTAAATTTACATTCCTGACTGACTTTATAAATAAATAAATAAAAATAAAAGCCCATTCATGTTTGAATGAGACTGACAGAGGTGCATAAATCTGTGATCACGGTGGCCCCCAGAAAGCAGCAAATTTAAGGGCTTGAAATATTCAGAAATGCAAATTGCATGAAACAATTAGCATATGGCAGTATTTAAAAAGCAGTGTCCTTGCCTAAAGAGGGGTTTGTAGCAGACAAAGAGAGGGATTATGGGAGGACACCCACCCGTGTTTTGATTGTAGCACTAACACTGGCCGAGTCTGATTTCAGTAAACAAAAGGCTCCTCAAGAGGCTTGATGGTGCATTCAGTCAAACATGTACAGAGCTGGGACCGCATGTGAATCATCAGCAGGCTTAGAGGAATTAACACAAGTGTAATCTGTGTCTACTTTACCCTTGAAATGAGAAATATCAAAAGAAGAGAGTCATCTTGTATCCTGCTAAATTGTTCTTTAACATGCTCAGATAGATAGATAGATAGATACTTCCCACAAACAGAGCTAATCGATTAGCATGACATGCTCAGCCATGTCCGACAGCGAGCAGCTACAATGTTAGATTAAATGCCGGCCAGATCCTCATCAGGGCAAAAATCAATGTTTGTTGTTAAGGGCGAGTAGTGTCCAAGGGGGCTTCAGGGGGCTGAGGAGTGTAGAGTCACTTTACATGGTGTGTCCTGGACTGTGTGTGCTGTGGCGCCTGCTTGTATTGACCTGGATGGGAAGCCAGTGAGCGAGGGAGGAGCGAGCGAGAGAGAGAGAGAGTGTTTGTCACCATGGTTCACCTTCACTTTAAAGTCACTGTTCACCTCTACTGAGGTTTCATTTTTTAAAGACTGGTTATGCACTGAATGCTTAAAACATAGAAGTATTGATGCTACTTCTCTAATTTAAATTCACTATATCTTTTACTTTTTTCACTTAAAAAACGGTGATAAAAACACAACCGAAAAACTACACCAGTAAAACTAAAATGATACTTTGTGCTCACATGGTGGTGAGATTATGCACAGAAGAGTTCCAGTGAAAAAATGTTGTAATTTTTGTTTATTTTAATGTCAGCACATAAACATTTTATTTGTAATTATTCCAACATAAGCTGTTTATATGTTCCTATATTCTGCACAAATCTACTCCATTAAAAACGGCATATTCATATCCGAGTTTATTGCATAATCAGAACTCAGTGGATAAAAACATAGAGCGTGCTGCCTGCTGTGCACAGCTGAACAGCAGACACAGGGGAAAACACAAACATATTTATCAGCGTTTTGCAGAAATCCGAACATTTGAATACTATTAATGCATCTTTAGGAAGAAGGGCAGCACTTTCCTCGCAGCATCTGAGCATCTGCATTCGTTGTCCTATTTTTTTAGGCTCAGAAAATCCAGCGTGCACTCGTGCTTCATTTTTGTTTATTTATTTATTTGTTTGAAAGCAATACTCTAAAAATATACTGAAGGGCTGCGTGCTGTGGGAATTGATCACCACTTTCTTTGTTTTCCAGATGTTGAATTGCAGATGGTTGCAAAAATTATGAAGACTACTAACTGCAAAAGAGCTAAATCCTGCAAAATGATGGCACTATACACTTAAGCCTCTAAGCTATTAATGTTGTATTTTACTTCACTTAAACACACTTTGATTGCTTTTAGTCTTTGCCAGTGAGATAATACAAGTTAGAGTAAATGTGAAAACTCTGTTCATAGTTGAAGCCTTTTTAAAACTACTGATGGGAATTACGGCTCTTTTTAGTGAACCAGATCATTCCACTCAACTTGCCAAGAAGAGCCAGCTCTTTCGGCTCCCAAACTGCTCATCATTTTACCACTTTAACATTTTCTAATTCAGCCAAATTTAGCGTTGTTTGGCTTATGATATGTACTTATATTTACACATACCTCTTAAATAATTCAGTACATCCTTAGTACTAAAGTATTCCCAAGTAAAAATGACATCTCTGCTACTCTGTTACACAAAACAGATAGAAGGATCTTTAACTTAAGCATAGAAATAAAAAAGGACAGCTATTGAGATTTTCAATATTTATTTAAACACAATAATCAAATAATAAAGTAATTTTGCCTTGTAGATTTTTTTTATACACATCGCAAATCGTGATGTGTAGCGACCGACACATCACGATTTCAAATGGACACAAGTTCCTGGAAATCCTCTGAATTACCTGGATGAGCTGACTGGGGGGACTTCACACGGTGTATGTATGAACAGCAACGTCAGGAAAATTCCTGGATCAGAAATTTTAGAGAAATCCTCTGAAGTGCAAGTCTAAAAAAAGATTTTCAACAAATCCACTCAGAACCAGGTCAAGAACTATAGATGTGTTTATTAGCTGAAGTGCAGCAGTTTATATCATGACATAGAGTGTGGCATAATGTCAAATCAAGACTGTCCACTCCTATGAAATGAGCAGTTCAGTTAGTTCAGCAGACATTCCTGTTATTCATCATGATCCTGCTTTGACAGCAAACACTCATTATATCAAACCTGCTTGTACTCAGACACTCCTGATTGGCTTGACCTGAATCAGATCAGATGGGAATCTGTCCCGCAAGAGTAAAAGACAAAACTGCCACGGCAAATAAATTAGACCTTGGAGGTTTTGCTCGTTCCAGGTTCCTTTTTACCCTTTTGGCAACTTGCAATGAACAACGTCTGAGTAGGTAAGAGTTGTTTTTCTGTTTCCAGTAAAAATTTTATTTCCTCCCCTTATAAAAACTCGAGGAAAATTGCAAGTCATCCAGGCAGACTGAGTTTATTTGTTACGTTACTGTAGAACAGCACATATTAATCTATTTTAGCTGATCTAATCATCTGCTGTGTGCTTTTGGTTTACCACCGTTACCAGCTCTAATGTTGGAGCTGTAAATACCCGCTGAGTTAAAGCAGACCACAGCGAGCAGTGACATTTCTGCTCTGGCATGTGTGACAATATTCTCCTGCAGCTCCATTGTTTTGAACACTTAAGTCAAGTGGAGTTACTGCTCAGTACTGCCTGTCATAATGTTTTGTCATTTCGGCGAGCAGACCCAGCCAGCTAAAGAGCACTAATTAGGAAGCAGTAAAACCAAATAAACAGGAACCAAGAAAATCAATAGTTTGACTTTTTAGCTTTCTGCGCTGAATGATCTGAACATGTTTACTCTTCAAGTCCCGTAAAAAGCGCTGTTGGAAAATTGGTAAGGTTGTACCAACTAAGAGTTTCTCCGCACTTAGTGTATGTGACGAAGGTGTTAGTGCCCGTTCATAGCCTTTCCTGGCTTTCATTTCTTAGTATGAAGCATTTATAGTTGCATTTCTTGACTTTTCTGACTGACTCACACACAGCAACGACACTAAATTACCTGGGGCCTCATGTATCAACACTTGCGTGGAACTCATACCAGAAACGAGCGCACGCAAGGTCCGTCACGCTGAAAAAAATCCGTATGTATCAATGTGTGCGGGCGCCGAAATCCACGTGTGTTTCCTTGATAAATCCCAATCAGCGTGGAATTGAGCGCAGATGTCGGAGTGACTGGGCCCGTCCCCGTTACGCCCTCCTATAAATATGCAGATTTATTTAAATAGGGTCTCCCTGTCCTCGCACGCAGACAAAATGATAAGAAAAACTACATTTACGGCGTGCGAGGTGGAGGTGCTGGTGGCGGAGGTGGAGGAGCGACGGCGTGTTTTGTTTGGCAGCCTGTCCAGTGGCGTCAGTGCAAAACAAAAACGCTTGGAGTGGGAGAAAGTTTGCGAGAGGGTGAATGCGGTGGGTTCCGAGACACGCACCCCCGCGGAGATTAAAAAAAAGTGGTCGGACCTCAAGGTGGAGGTCAAGCGGCGTACAGCTGCCCTCCGGAGGAGTACCGGCCAGACAGGTGGGGGTCCGGGGGAGGAGACCCTCACACCGTTTGAGCAGCGGGTGGTGGCGATTATTATTATAGGGTAAGTGGCGTGTCACACAAATGTCCACATGCTTTGTCATCCCACTGAGCAAAAGACGTATATTAGACGTCTAGTCTAAGTTTATACTTCATTTCAACGTCGGGATTCAGTCTATTTTTAGACGTGATTTATACTTCGCCCTTAACTTCATTTTTCGATAACTTTTTATGCAATAAACAACTGTAATGTGCATAACTGACCTCTAAATACTGGATTACATTACCTATGATACCGTGGAGAGAGATGTAAACGCAACAGATACACAGAAGCAGGAATTGAAATGAACTAATATTTTTATTGTGTCACAGAAATTAATGTGTCGGCCGTGTCGCCGGCTTGCGGAACCCTGGCCCGCGGCAGCCCGTCCGCCGGCTCGGAGTCGTCGGCCAGGACCAGCGGCATTCGGGCCACCCCGGCCC